GTTACTTGTAGCTTCTAGCACAGCTATCGACGGCCTTTGAGAGATCTGTCTACCCAGTTTCACTAACAAGTCTTGGTATTGTTTTCAGGGACTTTCCAAAATGCCGCACTCCAGATGGCACCTATATATATATATATATATATATATATATATATATATATATATATATATATATATATGTATATATTCATTGATGCGTGTTTCATTAAATAATATAGACAAGTTTTGTCTATTTATTTTATGTAAATTCTTTTCATATCGTCTGATAAGCTTACTAGCATTATCATTAAAAGATGAAAGAAAATCACCATATTGATACATATTTTTTAATCATAAGCCATTATCAATGATCACAATTACATTACAATATATTAACCAATACACGGACAAAACAATTATGATAGTCTGTTTTCGTTTACATGGAAGGTTTCCAAGCAACGACAAACTCGTGCATACGGGACGCTGAAGCGAAATACGCACCGCAACTTATGACATCACATATGGCCACGCGAGAGTGAAAACGAGAAGTATTAAGTATGGGAAGCCGTTGATATATATATATATATATATATATATATATATATATATATATATATAATACATTTCTGATATATATATATATATATATATATATTATTTCGGAAATGCATTAATTTTAGTAACAACTATCTAATTTGACTGCGATAACCATTCAGTGTAGCAAATGAGGAGTTTTGCTTTTAACTTCCCACTGATGAACATTATTATCAAGTGCATTTACAATTACACTATGTTTTAATCATTGAAATAAGAGAATAAGAAATAAGGAAATAGGAATATAAGTACAAACAAATTTCGTTTTAAAGAAATAACCATATCACCCGCCATTAATTCCACTGTAAAATGGAGCTTATAAACGAAAGAGATATGTTATGTAGCAAGTCAAATTTCTAAAAATGCTCATATCATAAATCAAAGGCTGAATGATTTCGTGCATGTCGAACTTTAACGACTGGGGTTTTAGCACGCAAAGTCAGGGAATTATGATACTGAAACAGAATGGACGTGTGGATAGCGGAATAGATAATAGACAGAAAAGAGGAAACCCGATTTCAAATTCCAGCTTCAACCCCGCGAACACTTCCGCAAAAATGCACTTGGGAATGTTATGAATCCGACACTCCTCTCCAACTCCTGATATTGTTTGGCAATCAGGATCGATTGGGCTCTCTAGTCTTGGATGGCATAAAATTTGAAAGAGGGAAAACTCTGAATTTCAAACCGTTGTAATAGCCACGGGAAACAACTTCACTATCTTTCCAAAGGATGCATTGCAATTCGTAGATAATTTGTAGAAACGGAACTCAAGAAGGACATGATATCCTACATCCTAAATCAATCTTTTGTAAAGCGTTACTCAGTTTTCCAACAACTGACTCCTTGTAGTGTGTCTCAATTCTTGTTTATTTTCGGTGTGCACCGAAAACTTAGGAAGGCCAGCTGTATGTCCCCTAGGTAACGCAAGATGAAAACTTATGTCATGTCGAGAAATGATCACAAGAACACTGTTTTCAATATTATAAAATTCATATTTTTATACAGGGCTTTGCTTACCCAGTCTGAGTGGGCAGGTAACGTCACACTGGGGGAAAATTCTACCATACCAATCAAACAGCTCAGTTCTTCTTCCTGACAATTCTCCAAAAATCTACACATCCTGTTGGTATCGGAATTATGCGAGGGGACAGTCTGTCTCCTTCCACGTCCGGACTAAAAATGATTCCCTCGATCCCAGGCATGGCTGTTAATATAGAACAGCAACCGGAAATAATAATATCCGGTTTGGATGTCACTTGACCCCAAATGCTTTCTTTTACTTATTTATTCTTTACTTTCTCCCGGCGTATGAAACTCAAGAATAAAACAATCCGCTGGACATAAAACAGAAGCACTTGAGGTCTAGATAAGATCAAACTTTCCTCTTTTATGTAAATACCTCAATAGAGTCACTGTGGTATTAAAAGTATGCTGAAATCAACTACCTTCCAGTTATACGTGTTGTAATAATTACTATAAAGGTGCATTTTTCCCTAAAAAAAAACTTTGTTCTCTTTTGTTTAACGATGAGAGACTAAAACCGAGATATCATTTTTAGACACTCTTGGTTTCTGATGATTCCGAAATTAAATATAAATGATTTTAAATAATTTAAATATGATTAAAAATCAAAATAATATTCAAATATTTAGAAAGCTGCTTTATAAGTGTGGATCACTCATCAGCTAAATTGAATTGTTTTGGGGGAAAATCACAGTTACAATTATATAAACAAGCCCTGCGTTGACAAAATAACAGATTCTTTTTGAATCTTCATCACAAAAGTATATAAAACGTCCTGGAGCTCAAATCTCTCTCTCTCTCTGTTTTATTTAGTGGTTTTGAATTCAGAGTTGTCCTTATCTAGCCATTGGTAAATAGCAGGATAGACTGGGTTCTATAGCCTTGGAGAACAACTCATATA